CCGAAAATCACGATAAGGCTTATTTTCGGAAAAACACGGTAGTACTAGCCAAAATAACACAAGTTTTTTATATAAACATAGGGTCGCAACACCTTTGTTTTCGAGCTATGAGCTGTCAAAGTTGAATCAAAAATTTACATATTATCTTTTATTTCGGGTATAAGTAAACCATAGAATTTGAAATTTAGTATGTATGTACTACTGGTTAATACCATCTTATTTATAAATAAGATTAAAACAAATAATCAAAAAACACAATAATAGTAAATATCAAATTTTTTCATGTAATAAAGCCACCTCGCTTTTAGAATATATAAATGAAAGTAACATAAAATTTAATTTTAAGTACGTTTTGGTATTCCCGTTTTTAATAAATGGTAATCATTAAGTTCTAGCCACAGCTAATACATGTACGAAGATATTTTCATATTATAACAACCAAAATAACAATAGACGATAAGCCAACAAATATTTCAAAAAATTTTTAAAAATTGCCAGATTTAATGAAGATGAATGGAGAATGACAATACCAATATAATTTTCATTCATGTGTTTTATATATTATATATATGTTTTCCATATAACATAGCGAATTTCACCTATTTTTATTAGGGGTTGACACTCCTTCTTGTGTAGCACTCTAATTTTAACGAAAATCAACTTAGCGATGTCGAATTTTTATCCTCACCAAATTTCAACTCACGGATAGGGGGGAATTTTATTTTTTTTTCACCCAACATAGCGAAATTCACCAATTTTTATTAGGGGTTAACACCCCTTCATGTGTAGCACTCTAATTTTAACGAAAATCAACTTAGGGATGTCAAAGCTATATTCACACCAAATTTCAACCCTGCAACTCACTAAGGGGATGGTTTTATTTCTTTTTAAAGTCGAGACGTTTTTACCCTATTTTATTAGCAGTTTCAAAATTTATTCTGGATTTCTGGATTAAAAAGCAGGTAGTAACCTTCGTAACATACATTTAACACAATATGATCATATTTTCCATCTTCAATCCGTTTCCCTATGCGTTTTAATCTTAGCGACGGATTTGCAACCGTGGTGGAATTGACAAAATCCATCGCTGAAAAGTCGTCGCTAACTTCACTCCAATATTAATTTATTAATCATCTATGAAATTCTGGGGACTCTTTAGTGTAAGGTAAATTCCTAAAGTAAACTTGATATTCTTCAGAACCCACTTAAGAAGGGTTAAAAGATTTTCATATTTGGCTTTACGTATAGATTTTCTAGAATGTCTTAATTGGGGCAAATTTGTCGGTATGTTTGAAGACATGATAATCTGGGGAAAATGCAGAGGCTGTAGGAAATTTATATCATGAACGATATAACATTGCGATATAATCTACAAATTAGCGGTCAATTCGAAAAGAAAAGATCGCAAACTTATACAACGAATGAAGACGAGGAATTTGAAGAAGTAGTAGTTTTAGGGGCATCGGAAAATAATCCACAGATATCAACGCGGCAATATAACCACGGGAATTTCAAGAACCAAAGCTAGCCGGATTGTGAAAAAATTCAGATTTAAGCCATACATAACCAGCAAAGTCCATTACCTCAGATCAGCAGATATTGAAAGGCGCATGAATTTTTGACAATGGTTCTTGGGAAAATGTGACGAAGCATGCAATTTTTCTTTAAATTGTATTTGGACTTGAAATTGTATTTGCTGGTATTTTCAACCGCTACCCATTTAACCCGTTTAATTGTAGAACAGAGGAATCAAGGAAGGTTTGGTTTTAGCGTATGGACAGGGATTTTTAGAGCCCGAATTATCGGTCCATTTATTTATGATGATTTCCTCACCTCCGGAAAATATTTGAACATATTAAGGCAACAAATCGAACCTGTTGTTGATGATTTACGATTGAAAGATGTTATTATTTATTACATTAATCTGCTTGCTGTTTCTGAATTTATGTTTTAATTCAATGTAACTAGTGGTGGAACGAATATCCGGCAACTATCCGGTAATTTTTTAAAATCCGGCCGGATACCGGATCAGTTACCAAATTAAAAACCTATTACTTCGTACTCCACCATTCACAGGAATTAGTATCTCGTTTAGGTGTTGGACACTGTAGATAATAATCAAGTTCAACCCCAATAACACTTTTTCATTGAATACAACTTTATTTATATCAGGTTTGTCATTAGCAAGCTCATTGTAACAATCCTAATACGATATATAAAATCTCTTGTTGCAGTTTTATCTAGTTTTTTTCTCTTCGCTTATAATTCATCATCACATTCATTACTAAGAGAACTGTTGCTGTTATCACTTTCGATTATTAATTAAAGTATCTTCTTTTTAATGCAACAAGGCGTTTTGAAAAATTGCTTTTAGTTTTTGAGAAATAAATTTTTGAAATTATTGACAATTTTTTCGAATTTTGCAATTTTCGCCGATTAAGTTTTAAAAATTCGTATAAAATCCATTTCTCAATATTTGCAGTTTTGATCAAATTTTCGATGTTGCAATTTTCATCGATAATTTTCAAAATTCGCTATAAAATTAATTTCTTGAAGGATCCTTGTGGAAATATCACCAATTATTAATTAAAGTATCCTCTTTTTAATGCAAAAAGCCGTTTTGAAAAATCACTTTTAGTTCTTGAGAAATAAATTTTTGAAATGATCGACAATTTTTTCGAATTTTGCAATTTTCGCCGATTAAGTTTTAAAAATTCGTATAAAATCCATTTCTTGGAATATGAGTATGAAAATTTCCCAAAGTGTTAATAAAAGTGTCCTCTTTCCAATGAACCAACCCGTTTTGAAAAATAACTTTTAGTTTTTGAGAAAACAATATTTGAAGTTTTGATAAAATTTTCGATGTTGCAATTTTCATCGATAATTTTCAAAATTCGCTATAAAATTAATTTCTTGAAGGATCCTTGTGGAAATATCACCAATTATTAATTAAAGTATCCTCTTTTTAGAATCTCAATCTCAATCAGCATCAAATAAGTTCATTTTGTATCTTGGATCAAAATAAGTCTTATCAGCTTTCTTATTAATTTGATTTTTATTCAAATATCGTAATAATGTGGCAATGTAGGGTATCACTTCAGAAATGCACTACAATTATAACCATAATGGCCGTATAGATATGCCGGATATCCGGTATGCAGCTTTTCGCAAAATCACTATCCGTTCCATCACTAGTTGTAACCAACTATCTTGATTCTACTTATAAATATAATCTCGTTTTTGTTTTATTTCCAAAGCCTACTTTTTCAAAATCTGTACATTTAAGTTTTAAAGTTGTATATTTCAAAGAAAACTTGAACGAAATATCAAGTGTGCTATACTTTTGTGCTTTATTTTTTGCTCTCGTCGAATTTGCAAAAATATACAGGATGTTTCATTTAAAAAAATCATTTTTATGTCAATAACTACTAAAATATTGCTTTGAGGGAACGCTAACTTATTCCATCGAATTCTTCATAAAAAGTTGCTTTAGAAACTAAATCTTCACAGAAAGGAAGATTTATCAATAAGAAAAAAGTTATGACGACTTATCGAAAATGCACTTTTTTGATCGATATGCAGTTTTCGCCATTAAGTTTCTTATAAAAATCGAGCCTCAGACAGTGATATCATTTTTCCTCTATCTCTTATAGAAAAAGGAGTTTTAAAAGTGTTTAAAAGTGTCCCTTTAAAACTTTCCCTTTAAAAGTGTCCAATTTGGCCCACCTGGTACATTACAATCATCATCATATTTCGGTTTTGTCTGGCACAGTTGTCAGTCCAAAGTGTTAATGTTTCCATTCTTTGATTCCTTGGGATTTCTATAAGTAGCCATTTAAAAAACAGGAAGCCATTTCATTACCACCTCTTCCAGCTTTGGTTTCATCCCACATCATACACCAAATGTTTTTAGTACAAGGATGATGTATTACAGGGTTAGCTCTCCGAATTGGTCAAAAAGGGAGTAGGAAGGCACTTTAGAAAATCGGCTATTACCACTTGTAAATTTTCATTACTTTCTATAGCACATTTCTTGTCTTTACTTTTCATTTGATATCTATTATTTGCATCATCTAAATGTAAATTATAGAAATGGCTTGTTTCTTTCTTCTGCGCTAAGATCAGCCTTCTTAGGTGATACATACATTTTTGAAATATTTAAGCCAGCTCCAAGATACTTCTTAGCAGACCTTTCTCGAAAATAATGACTTTCATACGTAGGGTAGCTGTCAATGTGCTTAGTGATGTTTACTTTTCTACCTCTTTGATCAGGTACTGACATATTACATGTAGACTTCTTTTTCAGAGCGTTATAAACAAATTTTCCTGATCGATAAAGTATTTATAAAAAATAATTTACAGACTCTGATGTTTTTCTTTTCAATGAAGAAATTATGTAGATATTGGTCTACGTCGTTTTACATCTTTAGTAAACACGCAAGAATCAACTGCCTCTTACACACCTAAGAAAGAATTTTTTTCCAAAAATCATTATGAATCTGTTGGCGTTAATTTTCAGATATTAACGAACGGCACTTATATGTACAGGTCGAACCACATGGACTTTTTGGCTTTTTATTTAGTATGAGTTTGTTTGTAGTAGACAAATATAATTCACTTCGTTATCTCATAACTTTTCGTATATTTTTGTTACCATTATCTTCATACCTCATTCGTTTTTTACACTTTAATTTAGGTTTTGTGGTTAAATCACTTTCTATATCTGAGTAAGATGAGGAATATGACACTAATTTGACAAACGTTGCTTCATCATTAATTTTCATGATTATCAGAGTAAAATTTGATGTCTAGATTAATTTTGGACTTACTACTAAAAACGTAAGGACTTATTTCTTTATAATCGAAACATTTTTCCTCGTAATAAGGTTTTTTAAAATAACGTTACTAAAAATAAAATAATGGGTTTTAGAGCATTCTTATTTAAGCATTACTGCATTTTTGTTAAAAGTGAACTTACACCCCTTTAGCTCTCAGGTACAGAAATATTAACTAAAATTGATTATTTTCTTTTATAGTACACCTGTAGTTCTCTAGAAGCAGATATAATTTCAATTGACCTTGAGAATAAAATCCCATACAGGCTAACGAGAGGCGTTTATTTTCAACTGGTTGAAAAAAATATTCATTTTGAAATATTATACTCTCCAACCATTGAAGACCATACAAGCCGAATAAATATGATTCACATTTCACATTTGTATCACAGCCTTGGAAAATCTAAAAATATTATTACAAGTAGTGGAGCTACTAAAAGAATCTTATTACGACCACCGCTAGATGTTAGAAATTTGTATCCTTTTTGTTCACTTTTAATAACCATACATCAATAATTTATGATTTACATTAATTTAAATTTAAAAATTTAAGAAAATTTTCAAAACGTCAAAAATAATAAATGTAAAATACGAATCTTTCTTATTCTTTGATAATCAGAAATCAATTTTTTTTTCTTAAAACAGTTTTAGAGGCTTTATTTTTGGTTTAAACGAGGAACAAGCTAATAATTCAATTTTGTGTAATGGAAGAATTGTGTATCTTAATAGTGGTGAGATTAATTTATTTCTTTTCGCTTTTTATCAATAATGTTATGGTTTTTTTTTGTAGTGGGTCGAAAACGCGGAAAAACTTTTATGCTGGTGGAAAATACTGCTGAGAAGACCAATTGTGAAAAAATAAAAGATATCGAAGAAATGGAGGTTGATGGGCCAGTTTTAAAAAAGCACAAAAAATAAATTTAAAAAATATATTTGTTACGTATTTTGGAAACGATTTTACTTAAAAACTATTATAAATAAATCGGATTTATTTTTTAAATTTGATCTCTTGCGTTATTTTTTTATTTATTAAATAATATTTTATAGTCTAGAATATATTTCGGGGAATAATCTACTGCAATTCTCAAAATCTCTTCTTCGCGCGCTAGGATAACATACTGTCAGCAATAAATATAAAGTAAATATGTATATCAACACAATATTTAAAGTATTTAATACTAAATGGTAAACTAAAATTAATTTCCATGGTAGAAAAAGGAGAAAACGAAAAGAAAGCCATAATGGAATAATTTAAAATAGGGGATTTTAAACATTTAGGTTAAAGTTTTAGGAAAACGTGACCACATGTTTGTTAATAAACGAAGAAAGCCTAAAGCACTGAATATGACAAGCCTAAAGCTTGTATCCCTACCTACATATGACAAAAATGTTACTCTTCAAATAAGTTTATGAAGAAGCACATTTGTTTACAAATTATTTATAAAGAAAGCATTTTAAATTTAATTAGTATTCAAGAATTCAATAAGGTGAACGCAAGTGAAATAACGGGTTTTTTTAAGCCCGATAGAACTTTAAATTGAAAAAAGTAACACAAAAAATTAAATGTTAAACCAAAACATTTTTTTGATCGAAAAATCTATTCATGGCATTTAACATTTAAAAATTATTTTAAGCATATGGGCACCGCGGCTGTTCTTGACGAAGCGCATTCTGGAAGTCCAATTTTGGCTCACTTTTTCGTGCATTGCTGGCTCGCATGTCACGAATAACATGAACAATGTTGGCCTCCAATGTGTCAATTGTTGCTGGTTTATCAGCATAAACCAAGGAATTAATCGAGAGGTGTCAAATCGCACCACCTTGGAGGCCAATTGGCATATGCATTTCTCGAAATCAACTTATCGCCAAATTTTGATTAGTAAGTCGATGGTTGCGGTCGCTGTATGACACGTAGCGCCGTCCTGTTGAAACCACAGCTTGCCCGGATCAATATCATCCATATTTTCAAACAAAAAATCATTGATCATGGTGAGGTAACGATCTCCATTGACCGTAACGCGAGCTCCGACTTTATTTTTGAAGAAATAAGGTCCAATGATGTCACCAGCGTGCAAACCACACTAAACGGTGCATTTTTCTGGATGTAAGGGAGTCTGTAGGGTGTGTTGTGGATTGGTTTCACTCCATATGCGGCCCTTTAAGCCAAAAATGAGCCTCATCGCTGAACACAATTTTGCGATAAAACATCGAATTTGTTTCCAACTGCTCTAGAGTCCAAACGGCGAAAGAACGACGCGTATGATGGTCTCGTGGTTTTAATTCTTGCACCAGCTGGATCTTAAACGGGTGTAGGCCAAGATGTTTGGGCAAAATTTTTCACGTAGTGGACGGAGAGAGCCCTAATTCCTGCGACCGACGACGAATCGATAAATTTGAATCTTCTTCCACGCATTCGTTTGCAGCGGCGATATTTTCTTCAGCACGCACATTTCTTCGACGTGTTGATTTTATTGCATCATTTAGAGAGTATGTGGTATGAAATCTATCCACAGTTCGACGGACGGCTTGCCCAGATGGACGATTATGTGCGCCATACAAATCACGAAGTCGTCTATAAGTTATGCGAATTGATGACTAATTTTCAAAGTAAATCTGTATAATTTGGTAGCGTTGTTCAAGCGTCAATCTGTTCATGATGATTTTCCAGAGAATACTGATCATAAATATCAAAAAGTGAGCGCAGTATCACAGTTCGTTTGACAGTTAACCCTTTCGTAAGTTCTATCTAGCTTAAAAAAAACACCCTCTACAACATAACATATTTTTTTAAAATATTTAAGTAGTATTATAAATATTTTATAATAAATAATATTAAAAAATTATAACGCGGCATCATTAAAAATATTTTTCTTCCTCAGTTCGATGTATCAAACTGCTACCGTTTCCATATTAAGTTCTATTCTTATTTGGTCGTTATGTAAGCTCTGCAATTCGAATTAGTCTTTTTTGCATGGAAATATGGAATGCTATAGTTTTTATTACACCATTTAATTGTACGTAAAAAAATAGGTTAATTTTGATAAACGTTATTGGCACGATTATTCTTCAGATGATGTCAACTAGATTGTCATTTGTTGTATCGGAGTATCTTATACAGGCTGGTCAAAAATTGAATTACTGTTTCTCCATTTTCAATGGCGAGAAAGTAGAAAATTTTAAATGGAACGCCCCATATTTTTTTAGCCTATCAGAAAGGGAATTTAATTCTTTACAAATTATTTATAAACAAGTTTGTCTCATATTGAGAAATTTATTACAATATGCACGGAATGCAGGTTTTTTTATTAGAAAGCAATGGAATTTTGACAGTTTTTGGTCCATGTTTGTATTATTGTTGTCATTAGTTACATTTGGCGACCAGTGTAAGTCAATGCACATCGTGGCAGATTATTCCAAGGACGATATTTCAAATGTATTTTGTATTGATGGCGAATGTATAAACTTTTGGACAAGACGTATCGAACACTTAATGAGAGATGCCTAACAAACCTAATACCCATCACGAAGAAAAAATTCCAAAAAATTGATAAAGATTTTCTTAGCTATGGACATACCTATCGAGACCAAAAGAAACCATTATTTCCACCAGTGATGAAGACAACGAAATAAATATTTTATCGTATTTTATTGCCTTTCCAAATTCAATTTAGTAACAAATTTATATGATAAATTTATATTTTTTATCCAAATCTAATTTTTGTCATTAATTTTTTGTTTTTATTGTTTCATTTATTTGATCTTCTGTTTGTTATTTTTGGTAAATAAAAGCTAGTAAACTAAAAGATCAATCGTAGTTAATAGTAGAAATATCATAAATTTTCCAATATGAGAGAAACTATAATAAATACTATTTTTAGGTGACTTTCTTTCCATTTTATGTGTTAAACAAAAAATTTTGACAACGAACTCCATGAGACATCACGTTTCTAAACTATTTTAATCCTCTTCAATCATACTTAATAAATATCATCTATATAGTTTAACAATAGAAATAAACAAGGAATTACCAAATGAATCAAGTTAAAGTATATTTTTGTAACAAATTGACGTAACTCTCCTGAAGATGCTATGTAAATATAGCGAAACCGGTTGAGAAAACAATAAATAAAATCCATTAAAGTGCAAAAAACGAAGTTTTAATTTATAATAAATAAGTATAGGAATGTTTATAGATAATTTGATTTTTGTTTTCGTCTTTCTAGCGGTTGAATATGGAGCAACGGTAATTCAATTCTGGACCATCCAGTACAGTGTTGCCACACAGAGGAAGCTGTAGTACCGTACTTGAAAACGAAATTTACCGTATTTTATGTAAAAATACCGTACTTGTACTAAAAATAGTAGTGATACAAAATTAATTCTATAAAATGAACTGTGCAAACAAATAGGTAAAAATTTATTTTAAGTATAACAAAATAACTAACAGTTTTTTACCATTTTGTTGAATCCACGTTTCTACATAGGTATTGAGTGGCACATCTTCTAACAAAGTTGGTAAATTATTTTGGAGAAAATACAAATAGCATACGAAAGTATAAATTTTTTAAATAACGTGTTTTTTCCAAAAAACAGGCAGTAATATAGTCAGTTTTATAAAAATGAAAAGAAAAATGGCAACTGTTGTATCATTTTGGAATTTTGGCTAAATAGGCCATCTTTTAAAATTACTTGCCAAGTATTACTCCTTTTTTTAGAAATGGTGTGTCAAACTTAGTGAACGTAAGTCAGGGCTGGATTAACCAGTAGGCGCATGAGACGCCTACAGGGGCCCGGTTCTGGTTTGATATTGCATAGGCATATAATATAAATATTTGTACATAACTAGGCAGAATACTATTAATGAAATCCTTGCATCTAGCAACGTGCTTTCCTTTGGTTACAGATGCTGAGGCCCGGGATGCTTTAACTTACTCCAAGTCCACTAGTGTCGGAGCAAATAGTATTGGACTCAGATTCCTCTTACCCATTCTGGATATAGTTATTACACCCCTAACACATATTTTCAACTGTACTTTTGAACAGTCTATATTTCCGTCAATCTGGCGAATCGCTATGTTATTCCTATCCCAAAAATTAAATCTCCGTCTCATGTTGGTGACTTTCGACCCATTTCTATTCTATCTACATTGTTAAAAACTATTGAACATTTAGCTTATTTGCAGATCAGATATATCTTGAGGAATTTAATCTGATTAACAAGTTCCAGTCTGATTTTCGTGAAGGGTATGGTACTACTACAGCACTGATTAAGATCACCGATGATATTAGATCTGCGCGTGATAACCGTTGTGTTACCTTGCTAGTGTTACTTGATTTTAGTAAGGCCTTTGATTCTGTGGACCATGCCCTCCTGTTAACTAGGCTTTCTGCTATTGGTTTTACCTCTTCTGGTGTATCTTCCTACCTTTCCTATCAGTCTTTACGTGTCCGCGTGGAATCTGTACTCTCTTCTCCTGTTGACATCAAATGTGGAGTTCCCCAGGGCAGTGTGCTGGGTCGTTTGCTCTTCTCAATTTTCATAAATAGTATTAGTGATGGTATCTCGTGTAACTATCATTTGTATGCAGATGACCTTCAACTTTATATTTCGTCAACTGTTAACAACCTCCCAGATGCATTGTTGCATGTTAACAACGATCACTCTACGTGCTTGACTGGTCTAAACGTCATGGGCTTAACCTGAATCCAGGTAAAACGCACGCCATTGCATTTGGCAATTTAATTCCTTAACTACCCTTCAACTGAGGCTTGGCGACACCGTCATTCCGTTTTCTTATACGGTCAAAAATCTTGATGTGGTAATGGATTTGACGATGTCTTGGTGCCCACAAGTTCAGGGAGTCTGTAAGAGGGTTTACTTCTGTTCCATACTTTGAAAAAACTTCGCTGCTACCTTCCTCCTGTTGTACGTCGTAAACTTTGTTATTCT